CTGCCTTTATAATCAAATTATTTTTTAAAATATAAAATCAGCTGTTATGATCATTCCTCAGTGCTTTAGTAGCCATTTTACCAACTGCTTTGTTTTACCTTTTAGTGGTTTCTTTGGCTGTTTGTTTATTTTTAAAATTTAAATATGTTAAGGTAGTGCTACTCCTACTTAATTTCAGTTTCATAGATGTTTTACCCTCTTCTGCTCACTGACTCTTTACTGAAGAGTGACGTAAAGAAATCCAGAAGTTATCATGCTGTAGGAGAAGGTGGTCTGTGAAAGGCAACATGCTTGAAAGCTAAACCTGCACATTTGTGGTTAAAGAAAAATACTGTAATCATGCTCACCAATAGTGATTACTTTGCAAGCCCCTATTTTAAGCTCTGTACTAATTTCTCCTACTGTCTGGTTCTGTTTGACCTCCAGACCGCTGAAAAGATCATGCAGCAAAACCGTAGTTGTCTGGGTCTACGAATGGTGTGTGACCCTTTGCTTAAAGAAAAAGTAGGTGGTTTTCACAGTACATAAATCTGCCTGGTTATTGATTTATTTGAAATATGTTAAAGCTTTAGGTTTTTTTTAAAATGCAGTGATATTTCCTAGAGTTTTGGAATTGCTGAGGGCGGACGGGTGGAGGACTTTAAAGAAATGGCCAGAGCAGCCGGGGAGTCCTTCCCAGACTTCACCCCTCCAGAGGGGGAGACTCAGCAGCAGGTGAGGTGATGTGCTTTGAGCCGTGATTGTATTCTTTTCTGTCCACCTTCAGAGCTCAAGTTGTGAATCAGTGAATCAAAGTACGTCACTGTCCCGATTAAACAGTCACTTCTTAGCTTTGCTTTGGTTCTGTTTGAGGTTGTGTGGGTTGGAGCCTGTGGCGTCAGAGGTAAAGGTGTTCTATTACAGACATGTCTGCCTTTACTTCCAGGATCTGCATACATTCTAGTCCAGCCCAGTTTATTTCCAACAAATGTTGAGATGATGATTATGCAGACAGTCTCCCACCTCTGTTCTGCATGATTGAGTTGTTTTGTGTTTTTCTGCTCTAGGGGAGATGTTTTTAACTGTTTGCACTTTGTTTAGGTGAAGGAGCGGGTCCAAAAGTTCATGGAGAAAATGGTATACCAGATTGGCACCGAACACTGGCCTGATGGAGGGCAAAATGCCGCCTCCGCAGCTGCCTCGCCAGAGTCATCTTCTGCTGCGGGGGAAGCTGATGATGGAGTCAGGAGCATACCTATCCATGCTTTAGTTGTCACCCATGGAGCTTACATGCGTGTGGCGGTCCGTTACTTTGTCGAGGAGATGTTCTGCAGCTTACCTCCAAGTTGTAACCAGCAGCTTATGTTCTCTTTGAGCCCTAACACTGGGATCTGCAGGTTCACACTCAGCATTACAAAGGAGGGCAGCAGGTTTATAGTTTTGGGAATGCAGTGTTTTTTTATTCACAGGACTGACCATATTAAGCAGTAGGAGAAAGAAAACAGGGGGAAACAAAATTACAACTCAATCATCCAATTCTAATATCAGTCAAAAATAGCCAAAGGGAAATATAAAGAGCATTGATTAATTCATCCAAACAAACCTGGTTTTATGTGGGAATAAAAAACAATGACTGTGGTTTGGGTCCATTTTGTTTATCTGTTTCCTTGTAGCCTTTTCCTGATAAACATAAACACGTACAACACTATTTCCAAATGTAGTTTTGGACAAACAATTCACAGATGCAGCTTAACAAAGTAATCAGCTAATGAAATCCAATCCAAATCTTTGCCTCGGTGTTGATAAAACCACTCCCACTGCATTCCTACTCACCTTTGTTGCTTTTCTTTCTAGATTTCTCAATTAAAATCACATCAAACAAATATGTAATTCTTCTGTCTCAAAAACAGCACATCACTTACCTTCTCTGCTGCTAAAAGCCCAATTGATGTCTTTTTCACATCGTAAATTGAGCTCTGCAGTCGTATTCTATGTGGTATACCATCCAAAGCTCTGCTGCCCGCATCCCCAACCACACCACTCCTCATTAGTTTCAAAGCCATTCATTGTTGGGTTCCTCCATACCTCAATGACCTGGTCCATCTACCTCTGCTTTTTGAACCTGGGAAGATATAAGAGTCTCCATCAGCTGCCCCTTCTCTCTGGTACTCACTGCCTCTGCTGCTCCCCTCCTGCCCCGACCCCTCTAACTTCAAGAAAGAAATCAAATGTGGGAATCAGGGTCGTCTTTTTTTCTCAATGACATTTTAGAGAAACCATTGATTAAAGTTGCTTACTTTCTCACACACCAGGTTGAATAATTTGAATAAAATACATCCTTGTTCTATGATTGGTTATGCAATACAGTGCAAAAAAACAATCCTGATTATGTTTGCAGCAACTCTTTAAGAATGTATTCTGCTCTGTTTTACATGTTAACTAATTTAAAATATGAAAAAAACTGCAACATTTTACACCTTTATGTGTTTATTCTGTTCATATATCTTGTAGTGTGCTGCATAAATTCAGGCTAACCATTTAGTGAAACAAGAACTTGAAAGTTGAAATGTAGAAATTAAAAAAATACTGTTAAACGCATTTTTGTAAGAAGTGGCATTCCATAGTTCAGGGGTCTGCCGCCTTTTCAGTAAAAAAAAAACTAAACATTTTGTCTACTGCTGCTAAAAAACATTTATCAAGAGCCAGAATAAAGATTTCATAAATGTTGAACGCCTTAGAAATAATCACTGATTTTGGAGAATGAGGTAAGATGAGTGATCCACCAAAAATGTGGAAGACAAAGATGTTTAGCCCCCCGTAAAAGTATAAAGCACAAAGTTACATTTTCAAAACATTACTTTCTTCCTTATACCAGTGATAGTGAGCTGTTGTAGATATTATATGCAGATTTTCAATGAAAAAAATACAGAAGAACCTTTTCTTATCGCCATAATATGTCAAATGTTTTTTTATTTGGTGTTTTTGGAGCCACAGGCTGCAGTCCCCTGCTGTATATTAACAATAAAATTGATGTTGATGATCTTAGTTGTCGTCATGGATGTAAAATGATGATAGAAACAGCTTCAATTAGAAAAATATTCTTTCCAGCGGAGTTTTGTATATATTTTAAAGATGTACGAATCTTCTGCTTGAATTGAATCCCAGAAACTGTTTTTATTTTTGTTTTATTAAATCCCAGAGAGCAGTTGCTCTAGACTGATGAAATACACCAAAAAATATCCTGAAGGCAGAATTCATGGGCTGGTTTCTTCCATGCTGAATGGCTGCTGCAGTGTGGAAAGGTTTTATTTTTAGATTTCCACAGTTTGTGCTGTAGAAGAATTTCATCATCGCCACTTTGTGACTTTCTGGTTGTTCATTACTTTGAACACGGGGGCCCTATGCTGGAAATAGCTTTGGGTTCTATATTTATCATCTAAGAGATGCAGGAACACAGAGGCGCCAGAGCGTTTGCTCCACTGGAAATCAGCGACTCTGACATTGTTGTGAATTAACTCGAGTAACAAAAGAGCAGAAAATGCCACAGGAGCAAACTGGGCTTTTTTTCAAAGAATTTTTTAAGAGAAGGTTTTCAGAGTTAGATCTCTTAAAACCCAAATCTTTATTTTGTTGTTAGTTCAGTAAACCTGTATCTGTGAAAGTGTGTCTTAAAAGTCCATTTTGTTTGTGCATTTCTTCATTTGGACCCAATTGGAACCGGTTGGTCCTGTGCCAGTTATATAATGGGTTACGTGTCTGTGTGTGTGTTGCTCCTGTGATCTGTGCAGCCTGTCCTGAAAATGACTGTTTTGTTGACGGTATAACCTGCAGGGAGTGCGGTCAGGTGTAATAAACATGTTGAACTTGTTAAAAAAACCTACAACAGATTTGTTTCAACAACAACCTGAACTTATTTTGTTGTCAGTAAAGCCATGCAATTTTATTTGTGTAACATCGTTCATATAAACGAGCTGAAAAAGGTTTAATAAAATACATTAAAAACAAGAAATACAGAAAAATAAGCATGATTTTAAACAGAGACATTAAATTGCAGAAATAAAAAGCTAAGATAAGCTGCTGCTGTTTTCAGGACCTTTCCAGGAACCTTTGTGTCAGAGCTGAAACTAAACTCTGCCTCAGTCTCCCTGGTTCTACTGTAGTAACACTGAATACTTGATTCACAAACTCTTTTTGATGTATTATTTGACAAGCAGGAGGTCCGTGCAGTGATGAGGAACTGGCTCTGATGTGGTTTTACTTCCCTGTTGGTCAGGACCGTGGCAGCAGCATTTTGGATGAAAGGAAGCTGCCTGGTTGATTAAAGACTTCTCTTCAGTAATCTAACCTAATCAACAGGGAATCCTGCACCAGTTGTTTGGTTTCCTTTCGTAGAGTAAAAAAATTTTTTTATGTTTTTTGGCAACACCTTTAAAGCACTAAAACGCTAAAATATTGATAGAGTTTATGGTTGTAAACAGTTTGATAAAAGTCTTAAAACACATCCGGGTTCTACAGATATTCTGTAGCCTTTAGAGTACATTTCAGTGACATTTTACCACGAGAGACCAAAATGCCAGCTTGAGGTCTTCAGGGGGGAAAAAGTTTTGATTTTTATTTTATTAAATTTGTAGGTAAAAAAATATAGTTTAGAACAATTACTATCTAAACAATCAACTTCAACACAATATTTGACCGCAACAAGTAAAGTGGTTCAGTTTCTTTAGACAATTCTAAAAATATGAAAGTCTTACAGGTTTGACTGCTTAAATTATAAGAACATCCAAAAATAAAATTTTATTCCAGATGTTTTTGTGTCTCTCCAGCAACTAGGAAATGCTGCACCCTTACTTTATTTTGCATGCTTTAATAAACCAGCCAGTCCAATCCTGTCTGTTAGTAAAAGTCACTGGATGTCTTTTTTGCAAATAAAGAAAACTTAAAGGAAACCTGCTATCATTAAAAATTTGAATATTTTCATAATGCATCAGAGGAAAACCTCTGATAAAAAAAAATAGAAATAATATCATCAAGTTACATGGGAAATGTGCATTCTAACATGATCTGGACATGGAATATAAATATTGAATAATAGTGGCACGAGTTCGGAGCCCTGAGGTATCCCACATGTGATTTATTTATTTCTTTATTTATTTCTTTATTTATTTCTTTATTTTAGCAGGACTTTATAGATAAGAAACAACATATCACAGTCCCAGAGTTTGATTTCTGCCGTGTGCAAAATGTCTTGGATGAAGAGAACTATTCTATCAGCAATATTCGAGGTGCAACCCAGCTAAAATGTTTTTACAACAGGGAGGCAAATGAAACAGGAAATAAAAAAATCGGCATTGTTTATTTCTAGTAGTATTCAGTTCTTCTGGATCTAAAGCAGCTTCAGGACTAACAGCTTCTTTAAAATCCTACCTTCATGCATTTTTTCTTTTAAAGAAAGACAAACAAATATTACACTAAATAGCATTTTTTATTTTGTATCAGAAATAAGACATCATGTAATATATAAATAAAAAAACACTAGGCGATAAAAGTTTCTATATCACACATTTCAATAAATAAATAACTTTCATTGCTGTGACTGTTGGTGTCCAGCACCTGATTACTTTAATGAGTGCTTAAAAAGAGCAGATTCTTTTAGTCTTTCATTCATGTAATTTTTTTTGGTTGTTTTTTTTTATATATATATCAATGGGTGGATATTCGGAGGTAGGCCTTTTTTAAAAAGATGTGAAATAAGCATTGCCTCATCTGGTTCAAGGATTAAAATTTAACAGACAAAAGAGGTTAAAGGACAGCGGGCCCAGACCTCTCCCTCATCTGCTGTTCAAACAGAGGGCCTGTACAAGCCACTGTGATCAGATCAGAGCTGAGATTACATTTGATTGAAGCTCTTTTCTCTCAATCTTTGATGCTTTTCTGTCAGACAAACAGGAGACTCACCCAAACTGTCCCTTTGTTTCTTTCTGGCTTTTTGGTCCCTCTGATTTTCTACTCCCAATATTCAGGCCCATAAACATTTCATGTCAGACATAAAGACTTTTATCTTCTTTTTTTTTTTTCACTCGGCACCCATGGGTCCAGTGCTTTATTCATGTTCTGCCCGGTCTTCGATGTTGGTCTTTACGGGGCTACCGTGTCCAGGGGGCCTTAAGACCTGCAGGGGGTCATCGCAGGATGTGATGGTTTCCTTGGACTGGGCCCCTGCTGGATTTTGTTCTGCATCCTTTGCAGGAGGTGCAGGATGGGACTCTGTTCTCAGAGGGTCGGATGGGTTCACCTCCTCACTCCTTCTCTGCCTCTTAACTAACCTCTCCAGCAGGGCTGAGGAACCCTCTGGCGGTGCCCGGTGAACCACCCTGAGATCCCGCCCACCCAGTTTGAGCCACCATTTCTCGCTCTCAAAGGAAAACATGTCAGGGTGCTCAGCGAGATTGAGCCAAACATGCCAGAAAGGACAACGTCTTCTATCCTTTTGCCTCTGTAATGGAGAAGAGAAACAGAAATATTTACAGACCTCTCAGTTCTGACCTCCTGATTCTGTTCAGATGGATCTAGAGGGTACTCACAGACTTGTACAGCTGTCCCTTTATGTCCACGCACAAGAACTGCTTCCTCCTCAAATCGAAGATCATCACAAAGTTGACTGGCTCTGTTGTTACTGGTAGAATGACTGTAAAATGGTGCAAAATAATTTTTAATTGGTGGGAGATAAATTGCTTGTTGAAAATG